AACTTTATTGCATTGTGGTCTGATAGAATGCATATAATTATTTCAATCTTTTTGTATTTGTTGAGGCTTGTTTTGTGCCCCAGTATGTGGTCGATTTTGGAGAAAATTTCATGGTGCACTGAATAGAAAGTATATTCTTTGGTGCTTGGGTGGAATATTCGGTAGATGTCTGTTAGGTCCATTTGATGTATGGTGTTGTTTAATTCAGATGTCTCTCTGTTAATTCTCTGTCCTGCTGACCTATCTCATGAAGACAATGGGGTACTGAAGTCCCCTACCATTAATGAGTTGGGATTAACCTGGGTCTTAAAGTCCTGTACTACTGTTTTTATGAAGTTGGGTGCACCAGAGTTTGGTGAATATATGTTCATGATTCTAATATCTTCTTCATCAATTGTTCCTTTGATTAGAATGAAGTGGCCCTCTTTATCTCTTCTGATTCATTTTAGTTTGAAGTCTATTTAGTCACATTAGAATTGCAACTCCTGCTTTTTCCTTAGTGCCATTCGCTTGGAATATTTTTTCCATCCTTTCACCTTAAGGTAGTGCCTGTCCTTGAAAGTGAGATGGGTTTTGTTTCTTAATCCATTTAACTAGGCTGTCTTTTGACTGGGGAGTTCAGTCCATTCATATTCAAAGTTATTAATGAAAGATGTGTGTTGATTCCTGTCGTTTTGATTTCTGTTTGCATTCTTGGTGTAACTGTGCATTTCAACAGTTATACCTTCATTAAGTTTCTTTCTGTTACTCCTTGAGTATAGTCATTCCTTTCTTCACCTCTTTGTATTGCTTTAAGAACTCTCTGAAGGGCTGGTTTTGTGGACATGAATTCTTACAGCCTATTTATGTCATGGAAGATTTTTTCTTTCCCCTTCAACTATAACAGACATTTTGGCTGGGTAAAGTAATCTGGGTTGGCATCGGTGGTCATTTAGAACTGGGAATACTTTGGTCCAGGCTCTTCTGGATTTCAGTTTGCACTGAAAAGTCTGCTGTAATTCTGATGGGTTTTCCTTTTTATGTGACTTGTCTTTCTTTTGCAGCTTTCAGTATTCTCTTTATTCTGTATGTTTAGTGTTTTATTATGATGTGCCATGGAGAGTTTCTTTTCTGGTCCTTTCTATTTGGTGTCCTATGTGCTTCTTGTATTTGTATGGGTATGTCTTTAATTTTGGGAAATTTTCTTCTACAATCCTTTTGAAGATCTGGTCCATACCATTATCCTCAGATTTTTCTCCTTCCTCTATGCCTATGATGCATAAGTTTGGTCTTTTTATGGTGTCACACAATTCCTGTATATTCCATTCTTGTGTTTTCTTAAATTTTTCATAATCTTTGCTTGAGTGGTCTAATTTGTCTACTTTAATCTTCCAGTCTTGATATTCTGTTTTTCTTTCATTCATCCTATTAGTGAAGCTTTCTCCTGTCATTTCTAATTGGCATATTGAGTGTTTCACTTCCTTCTTCATTTCAGCCTGAGTATTCCTCAGTATTTCTCTTTTCTGAATTCATTTGGAAGTTTATCCCTGTCTTCTTTCAGTTGTTTGATTTGTGTGCTCTTTAAATTCACTGAATTCTTTTACCATGTTTATAACTGTTCTTTCGAATTCCATGTCCTAGGGGGTTCTCATTGGACTCCTCTTCAGGACTGCTGGTACTTGGTGGGGTTTTTCATGTTATTAATTATATTTTTGCTGTGACTTTGACATGTGGATTTCTTTTGTAGTTTCTGATTTTTGTGTGACACTCAAGCCTTCCTTTGTTGAGTTTAGTTCTGCTTCTGTTTGTAAACTTTATGTGCCTTTATGTTTTACTTTTTGGGCATGAAATGAAAAACCTAGGCGCCATGAGGCCACCTGATAGGAATGCCTGACAAGAGGTCAAGCATTGAGAAACTAGCTTATCAGAAAAACAGGACGTAGTGGTCAAGCCATCTGCATCTGGCAATCCCCGGGGCTTGATACCAGGAAATCAGGAGAAAAACCTCTGTGTCCCTGAGGTCACCTCCCATTTAGCAATCCCACTTCCCCTTAGCCCCGACCCTTACCCCATATTTCTGTGTGCTTTTGAAATTACTCTGTGTGTTTTTGAATTAACCAATAACCGCGCTTCTGCTTCTGTACCCTGCTTCTGCTCTATAAAAGTGCCAAGCCCCAGCCTGTAGGCGCGCAAGTCCTCCGAGGAGACTTTGTGCCCACAGGTACCTGTGTACTAAATAAACCTCTTGCTGTTGCAACCCGAAGGCTGACTTGTCCTCAGTGGTTTCACTCTTACAAAAAGCTGGTTGGTCTAGGCTTCAGGTCTCTTTTGATTTTATACTGGAGGGACCAGATGGCTTTAGTCCTGATGCTCAGGAGTTCCCACAGAGGCCCAAGTCGGATGAGGATCAGATGCTCTCAGGCTTTCTCCTAAGGTCTGGATCCCTCTAGTCAGCAGGCACAGTGCAATTTGGGAGGATTGCCAGGTAGAGGTAGGATTCAGAACTCTCAGGCAGTCAGGGAAGGAGGCGGTCTCAGGAATCCCGGTTGGGGGTGGGATAGCCAGGGATGAAGGCTGGTCTCAGGTATGCAAAGGTGAGGTGGAGGAGGGAACAGGTTTTGAGGGCTCCAGGGAACTAGACTGAGGAATTGGGTTGGTCTGGGTGCAACAGCTTGGAAGCAGTGGGGAGTCTGGGCCAAGAGGGTACTCCAGAGGTCTGGGGTGCCAAGAGAAGAAATGGGACAGTGATCACGCTAGGAGAGATGGGGCGGGGGAGCTGGGAGAGTGAATGAGGTTGTGGAAGTCAAGGTGCAGTGGGTGGGGTCACACTTATCCAGGAAAGATGCTGGCCTCAGGAAACTGGGGGTTGGGCCAGCCAGGGATGAAGGCTGGTCTCAGGTATGCAAAGGATAGGTGGGGGAGGGAACAGGCTTTGAGGGCTCAAGGGGACTAGACTGAGGAATTGGGTTGGTTTGGTGCAAAGGATCAGGAAGCAGTGGGGAGTCTGGGCCAAGAGGGTAGTCCAGAAGTCTGGGGTGCCAAGAGAAGAAATGGACCAGTACCCATGTTAGGAGAAGAGACGGGGTGGGGGAGCTGGGAGGATGAATTATTTTTTATTATTTTTATGCATAGGAGTGCTTTGCCTGCATATATGTAAGTGTACCTGTGCATGCAATGCCCACAGAGGCCAGAAGGGAGCATCAGACCCCCTGGAATTAGAGTTTTGATTGGCTGTTAGCCATCAAGTGGATGCTGGGAACTGAACCTGGTCTTCTGAAAGAGCAGCCAGTCCTCTTAACCACTGAGCTATCTCTTCAGCCTCTCAATTTTCTTTTTAAACTGCGAATAGGGATAGTGAGATGTCTCAGTGGGTGAAGGCACTTGTTGCTAAGCCTGATGACCTGAATTTGATCACCAGACCCCACATGGTATAGAGAACAGACTCCTCTAGGTTGTTCTATGATCTCCATATGTACATAGTGGCACATACGTGCTACACCTCCATACACACACACAGACACATACACACACACACACACAAATACAGGAAGAAAAACAAAAAATTAAAAAAAAATAAAGGAGGGAGACAGATGGCTCAGCAGTTAAGAGCACTTGTTGTTTTACAGAGGAGCCCAGTTTGGTTCCCAGCACTCAGGTGGGGCAGCTCACAACCACTTGTAACTCCAGTTTCTGGGGATCTGATTCCCCCTGCTGGATTTGGTGGGTACTGGACTCACATGCACAAATCCATATTCTGACATACATATACATATAATTAAAAATAAAACCTTTAAAGTGGGAATAATAATTTATATCCAGGATACTTATAAATAGTATAAAACACATGCTGGAATTACATACATGCACCACCATGCCCAGCCTTTGTGTTCAAATATATTAGTAACTGAACAATGAAGAAATCATTGTAGGGAGGATGTACCACTTAGCTCTAACTGGCAGCCCTGTGTGTGTTAGCATGTTCACACACATGTGAAAGGAGCTAAAACTTGAATTGTCATGTAGTTTAGGTACTATCACCAAACAGAAGCTAAAATTCTACCTAAGGCAGGTTGGAGAGATTGCTCAGTGGTTAAGGCAGATATTTCTAGAGGACCCGAGTTTGGTTCCCAGTACCTGTGTCAGGCAGCTCACATCCACCTGTAGCTCCAGCTTCAGGGAATCTGACACCCTCTCTGGCCTCCATGGGCACCTGCACATGTGTGGTAGACACACAGTCACACAGACACAGACACACACATACACACACACAAATAATAAATCTAAAAAAAATCCTGTTTAAGTAGAAACAAAAGATCTCTTTAATATTTTCCCCTCATGCTAATTAGAAATAAAAATTTCCAGTACTGAGTATCTGATGAAATATTTTGTCAGTTTCATTGCTTTACTAAGTAAATGGAGGTATGTATATCTATTTTATGTTTTCATTTTTAATGTGTGAAGCAATTTTTAAAGATTTTGAAAGAAATTTGAGTGCTACCTCCTTGTTCTGTAAAGGTAAATTAGCCCTTAACATGGAAAGAGTAGGTCTTAAAAAAAATTGCTAGGGAGATCATTAACACACTGTAAAACAAATTGTTTTACTTAACACCATGTGTCCTGTGCATACAAGGGCTATCAGTTAGAGCTAAGTGGTACATCTATTAGGTACCAGTAATCACATCCTCCCTACAATGACTTCTTCATTGTTCAGTTACTAAAATATTTGAAAACAAAGGCTGGGCATGGTGGTGCAGGTCTGTAATCTCAACACTTGGGAGGCTGAGGTGGGAGAATCCCAAGTTCCGTGGCTGTGCTATATAGTAAGACTATGGCTTAAAACCACCACAACAAAAAATAAAAAAGTAAAACATCTGTTACAAATAACAGTATAATTTATTTCACTGATCTTCCTGAGTGAGCTCCTCAAAAGATGTTTTAATCAAATGTTCATGTGTTCTAATTCAAAAGAACACTTATTGCTGTAGTAGTCTGACTAGTCACAAAACAATGAGCAGACTTACCTGGACGGTACCTCCTACAACTTCCATGACTTTGCCTCGGTACCACATAGTATCAGAGCCTCTCACTGCACAAGGTTCTCCCTTTTTCCAGAAATATGGCTCCAGAAGACCAAGGCACTTTAAATTACTTTGAATTTCATTCATCATTTTTATAAGCTCAAACTCTAAAAATAAAAAGCATTTAGGGAAACTTTTTATCATTCACTTTTCATTAAGAAATCATCAATGGGCTGGCAAGATGGCTCAGCATTAAGAGCATTGACCGCTATTGCAGAGGACCCAGGTTTGGTTACCAGCACCCACATGGTGGCTCACAACTGTCTATAACTCCATTTTCAGGGGATATGATGTTCTCCTCTGACCTCTGCAGTATTGCATGCATGGGTGCACTTACATACATACAGGCAAAACACTCATAAACATAAAATTAAAAAAAATTTAAAATTTTGAAAAAGTCATCAACAACTTGAGTAAATTTATCTTACCTAATACAAGGAATTAAAATCAAGCCTTTAATAGAACTTTATAAACATTTAATACAGTCAGTCTTTGAGAGATAGGGTCTCCTTGTAGCTGGCCTGGAACTTGCTATGTAGACCAGGCTGGCCTTGAACTCACAGAGATCTACCTACTCTGCCTCCAAAGGTGCGCACCACCACACCTAGCCAGTACTTACTGTTTTGTAAATATACTGCTGACAGCATATGCTTTGATCTTTGCTATTTTGAAAACACAAGCATCATAAAGTACTCTTAGTTAAACACATACCAGATAGCTTAATACAAAAGAACTACCAATTTAAGGCATCAGTTTAGCAGCACACTTAAGTATAACACAAGTTATACATTAGTCTATGATTAGGTAGAAATAATACTGAAGATGTGAGAATTTTAATTTTTTTTGGGGGGGGGTGAAACCAAGGAGTTTATTGGGCTTACTTACAGAGCAATGAGTGAGGACTTATTTACAAGAATGTGGAGAATTTTAATTTTTTAAAAATTTATTTATTTTTACACCTACTTCCCAGATAGCACCTCCCATAGCCTCCCTCCCCCCTTATACTCTGATAGCCCTGCTACTGTCTGCTGTGTTGTCGGCACCCCAGCCATTCCCCACTACCTGCCCTTCTGGTGAATCTAGTCAGCCTATCTAGAGGTCTTTGTTTTAGGAGGGTCAGCTGTTCCTCATCTAGTGGTAATCAGTTGTCAATATTCCTTTGGATAAGATTGGGGTCTGCTGTTGATTTTCCCAGTTCTATGATGGGTTATGTTGTGTGTACGTATGCATATACAGACACATGCACATGCATATGGAGGCCAGAGGACAACCTCAAGCATCATTTCCCCAGTCACTGTCCACCTTTTTTCTTTTTGAGACAGGGTTTCTCACTGGCCTGGAACCAGCCAAGTAAGATAGGCTGTCTGGCCAACAAGCCCCAGGGATTCACCTCTCTGCCTTCTCAGTGTAGGTATTACAAGAGTGTGCCACTATGCCCAGTTTATAAAAAAAGTTTTACTTATTTTTTAATATTATGTGTGCATGTGCGCATGTGTAAATGCCACTATAACTGCCCATGCAAGTGCTTGTAGAACCAGAGGTTGACATCTAGACACTTCTCAATTGCTTCTTCTCCTCACTCTTTGAGACAGTCTCTTGAAGAACCTGGAACTCATTATTTTGGCTGGCTACAATGGCTGGCCACTATGTCCCTGGGAACTGCCTGTCTCTGTTCCTCAGCTCTGGGGTTACAGACATGTGCCACCACACCCTTATTTTATGTGGGTGTGGGGATCTGAACTCAGGACCTCATGCATGTGCAGCAAGCATTTTACACCCACTGAGCCATCTTCTCAACCCCATACCTGGCTTTTTTATGTGGGTTCTGGAGATAGAACCAATGTTTGCCTGACAACCACTTTTACTGACTGAGCTAGCTCCTCAGCCTAAATTCTAATTTTTCTTTTACTGCAAACTGTCCCATTATTTCCATAGTCTCCATATATCCCCTAGAACTGATACCACAGAAGGCAAATTCGAGTCAGTGCTCACCTTAGTCTTGCTTCTTTAGTTCTGTTGTCATAGGTAGCTGTATAAGCCTTAGTTTGTTCTTTGTATACTGGGTGTGACAGATCTCCCTACATAATTAGCACTAAAAAGGACTAGATGGGATGCATCCCAGCATACCGACTAACTTATGACAGTCAGCCTATTTTGGCAATTACTGGCCATGCTGAATGAAGCTTCTGGGTTAGGTGCTGTTACAACAGGTATTAAACATTCACTTCTGTAATAGGTGTACTGTTTTTCAAACTGAAAAACTGTATTTAGGAACTCAACAAATGTGAGGAAAATGTCACCATATTCATAGCTACTATACCCTTAACCAGCAGGTGTCCTCCCTAAGGAGTGCATGGTGTCTAAGTATGTGAATGCTGGAGTTACATGAAATTATGGAGTATTCTAGACCACTCCCACTGTGGTCAGGAAGCATTTGGATGCAAACCCAAGGCAGCCTGAAGGAGGTTCTGAATCGTCTCAAAAGGCCTTCAACCTTGAAACATTTGCTGTGATTTCTTCTTATTCTAATAAATTCACACTTTTGTTTTCAGCTTCCAAATACACTGATTTATGACTATTTGGTTCTGTGATTATAAAAAGAAATCATGTAACCACTTCCACAATGGAACATATCATTCATAACAATCTGAATCCATGTTCCTGAGCCATGGTCACTCATATTTTGCTCTGAAAAAAATCGATCTTTTATTCCCTTTAGGGTAAGACCTGTGTTTTGTATTAAAGAGACAAAAGGCTACATTATGGGCAATATTTGGTAAAGATGTCAGGATAGAGAGTAATAAGAGGTAATTGTTTAGAAAATTCACAATATGGAATCTTTGATTTCTTTTCCATTTGAGGATATAATATATAAGCATATTATGTCTGCATCCTTTCCACATACCTCTTATTCCTTCAATTCCTCCTGTATCCCAACTTCCTCCTCTCAAATTCATGACTGTGCTACTACATCCCTCCATCCATCCATCTACCTATCTATCATCCATCTACCCACCCACCCACCTATGCATCCATCTATCGATTCATCCACCCACCCATCCATTCATCCTTCCATCCATCAATCCATCTACCCATCCATCCATCCATCCATCCATCCATCCATCCATCCATCCATCCACACACACCCCTACTGAGTCCAAGTGACCTTTATTTGTGTTTGTTTAGGGCTGACCCTTTAGGATTGGGGTCTCTGAAGAGAAAAGAAAACATGGGAGGGTGGCAGATACAGGTGACTCTGTGAGATGGTGGTCAGCCTGGTTCACCTAGTGAGTTCCAGGCCAGCTGGGGCTACAGAAGACTCTGCCTCAAAAAACAAAATAAAATGAAACAAAAAACACCAAAATTTTTTTAAAGTACATAAAAAAATTAATAAAAATTTTATTAAATAAAAAATAAAAAGGTTTAGAATAAAAGCAGGTGATCTTTATTTCATTCTATCATAAATATAGTTTTTATTTAACTATCTGTTTAAAGACCTGACAAATCTTTAATGCCCTACCTTATTAATTTAGGTATTCTTAATTTCTTAAAAATCTATTAAAGAACCAGCCTGAGAGGGTGGGTTCCGACCTCAATCTGTGTAGCAGCTGTGATCTCAGCAGACCACCAGAGCGTGCCTGTTTCAGGCCTGCCTCTGGCATAGGGGCTGAGAATGCAGGGGACTGCCTGAGAGTGCCCAGATCCTGCCTCCAAGTGGTGAAGGCTTTGAGAGGGAACTGACACTGATTCTAACTACTCCAACAGCTATCAAAATGCCTGAAAGCAAATCCTGAATCCGCCACTCTCGAGTTCAGCCTTGGCACACAAAAGAAAAATGAGGAGGAACCCAATAGAGGGATGCTTTTGGAAGCTCTCATCAAGAAATTCCAATGGACTCTCATATGAACATTTGAAATTTGCCCTGTTCTGACTTGTTCTAGTTCCCTGTCTGGAACTTGTAATGCTATAATTACTCTTGCCTTTACTTCTCCTTCACATCTCCTATTTAACTAGTCAAGGACTTTCTTTTCCCCCTACAGATAAGTATTATGCAATTTGGGAGTCTTTTAGATAGACCCACTGAAGGGGTACCCCAATTGCTTCACCCTGCATCCCAGTTCACCATGGAAGAAGCCAGAGTGATCTGCATCGCGATTTCCTATCTGTGAGCTGGGTAACCTCTTCAGATGATGGTGTGACAAGAACAAGAGGTAGGAATTGGCTAGTTAGTGTAAAAAGACCCCAAAGAAAGTAGCCAGCTTCTTGGCTGAAAGTCAAAATGTCCTCAGGCCTCTTAGCAACATACTCCATTCCAAAGACCAAAAATGTATAAATTTTTTGGGAGCTCTTATCTAATCCTTAAAAGATTTTAGGATTACCTCTTCAGGGGGGAATGTTAAAGAGTAGCAAAAAAAATCCCCATTAAAAAAAAAAAAAGAGTACATGACGTTATCAGAAAAAAAGTGATGGGGAGATATGGGAGGACTTGGAGGGGAGGGAGTGGACATGGATTTGATCAGAACACCTTATACGCTTATATCCCTGTATGAAATTCTCAATAAATTTAAAAAAAATCTATTAAAATGGGGCCCTGCAAGATGGTTCAGTGGGTAAAAGTGCTTGCCATGTAAACCTGACTATTTTGAGTCTGGATACTCAGATCCCATGGTGGAAAGTAAGATCCCACCCCTAAGGTTGTCCTCTGACCTTCATATGTATGTTGTGGCACATGTGTCCCCACCCTACTTCCAAATAATAAATTAAAAACTTAAATCCATTAAATTATATTTGAGTCTATTAATTATGTTTCATAAAACATTTAAATAATCTCAAAACATCACTTAAGAGATTTCTGATCCTCAAACAAGTATTAGAGGGATAATAAGCATTTAAAACAGTATAGTTTACTCAAAGTAGTTTTAAAAAAATTTTATTATTTTATGTGCATGTGTGTATTGCCTACATGTATGTAAGTGCACCCATGTTGTGCAATGAAAGGAGAGGCCAGAAGACAGCATCAGATCCCCTGGAACCAGAGTTACAGATAGTTGTTGGCTGTCATGTGGGTTCTGGGAATCAAACCTGGGTCCTTTAAACCTGGGTCCTTTGGAAGAGCAGCCAGTGCTCTCAACCGCTGAGCCATCTCTCCAGCCTGAAAGTTGTTTTTTTTGTTGTTTGTTTTTTAAATATAAGGCAATATTCATTGAATTATAAGACAGAAGTTTTGTTAAGTTACAAAATTTTGTACTGGCTACATGGATTTTGATAAGGGTGTTCTTCTAAAAGAGATTCTAAAAAGAAACTTTAAGGGGATGGAGGGATGGCTCAGAGGTTAAGAGTGCTTGCCACCTAATCATGAGGACCAGAGTTCACATCCCAGTGCCTCAAGCTGGGAGAAGAAAAAGACTGGGTCTCTGGTGCCGGTTGAGGGAGGAGTGTCCCCCAGGAAGGGATTTCACCTGGTTGGGACAGACTCATCCTCCAGGAAAAAAGCTACATATGCATATTTCATGGCTTTTGTTTCACTTTTTCTGTAAGTCTGTACCACTGCCATATGAGGCAGAAACAAAGTAAGAATTTCTCCCCCGCCCCCCACAAAAAGAATTTCTCCCCAGTTTTGGCCAAAACTGTGAGGAAATTCCTTTTTCCAATTCTGCCTACCTAGAACGCAGATTTCTCTTAATGTAGGCAAGCATTGGGACCCACAGCCAGGCTGAGGGCTCTAGTAACAATATATTAAAATTAAAATGCTCAAATAGGTTTTATGTGCTAGGCATTGCTAAAAATACTTTGTGTGCACTTGGAGAATTAATTTAAAACTCCTAGCCACCGCTTAAAAATGAATTTATAGAGGTTAAATCTTGATGAAGTATTCCAGTTGCATAGATCTTACTAGAAAACTTAAGTTGCTAGACCCAGAGATATTGATGAATCCTTTCTAACATAAAAGACCTTACCTGATAATTTAGGTACTACAAATATAGTTCCATCATCACCAACACAACTCACGATTGCCTCAAATAGCTTTGTGTTAGGAACAGCTGGTGGTTTATAGCATCCAGTAGTTCTGGTTTCTGAAGTCTTCTCCTTCAATTCAGGTACTTTCTGTTCAATAATCTTATCAGCGACTTTTTTGTCAGTATCAAAGTTAATTTTAACACACTTAGAAACTATTGACTCTTCTTGTTCCAGAGGCATTTCCAGAGACTTCTCAGATGAATGGCTATTATCTGATTTACTAATTCTGTAACACCCCAAAAAGAACATATTTAAACAAAAGCAAATATAAAAATCTGAAGAAAAATTATGAAAAGAATCCTTCAAACATATGGAACATTTAAATAAAACATTTAGTCTAGGATCTATGGTTTAGTTTGTCATGAAGAAGAAAAGAGGAAAATGGCTTGGTGGCTAGAGACTGATACAATTTCAGAGCTGTATTATAGCAGGGCTTTGAACAACTGTTAGCTCATAATCCCCTGTAGCTGCCTGTCTTTCTCTCAGAAATCAGGCCATGCTTCCCCTAACCAGCACTACTATCTACTTCTTATAGAAGTAGCAGGAAATTATAAACAAATATGCTTCCTTATCTCTGATGCTCACCCGCTGAAACTGGCTTTAAGCTATAGCCAGGCTCCTCATTCACTGAAGGAAGTTGTAAAAGCGGTCTCTCATGTACTCTCTCTTTCCTCACTTTCCTCCCTCCCCTCAAATCCTCCTGCAGGTGTCCATGGTGGCTATTTCTTCTACTCTTTCACCTTAACCATCACACCCTTCTTTAAAAGTTTTTTTTTTGCTTTATTTTTTAATGTATATGCATGTATTGCATGCATGTATACAAATGCACCCGTGTTGCACCATGCCCACAGAAGACAGAAGAGGGCATCTGTTCCTCTGGAACTGGAGTTATGGACAGTTGTTAGCTGCCATGTTGGTTCTAGAATTCAAACCTGGGTCTTCTGCATTATCGGCCAGTGCTCTTAACCATTGAGCCATCTCTCCAGCCCCCATCACTCCCTTCTTAACAACCACTCAAATACTAAAGACAGGATGCTCAAACCAACTGGAACCAGCTGGCTATTAGAGACAACTGCTAACTGTTCTTTGCTCCACATCATTAGCCTTCTAAAATTGTGGGTTTCCATCATGCATCTGATGCCATGCAACATCTGGAAAAATCCACACAAAGATAAAGGGGATATGTAATATTCTGGGAACCCCTCCCACTTTGATTCCCTGACTTTTCCCACCTTACCTGGTGAATAATCTTCCCTGTGTTAAAGCGTGTACACAAAACTAGCTATCCAAGATCCCAGTGATCTCTCTCTTGAGAGAGCCAGTATGTAATAAGCAGATTTCAGTATGTAATAGCTGGCCAAAATGAATAATAAAGAAATAAGCAATCTGTTTCTGAGCTGACTCTTTAGGAATTACTGCATAAATAACTTTTAAGAGCAAATAAGATGCAGCTTGGGTTTGAAAAAACCCAGAGAAGACATATATAGGCAATTATCAAGCATCTATCATAAACTGATATCAAAGAATTTTTCAAAAGTCTGTACCTTCTTTTTCTCAAAGCCAAACCTTTTTTAATCAAATATTTAGAAACATCAACGTGTTTGCCTTTTTCATCTCGGCAGAAGATTTTCACAGGTAATGGCCATGTTGTGCTGTTTTCCTGTTGATATTTAGGAGCAGAGTAGATATGAGACATGAAAATGAAATCTTCAAGCAATATTTTACCAGTATTTTTCTATACTTCTTTATGCAAGAAAAATCCCAGCTAAAATTATTTTGACACATAAATATATAAGAAGGAAATAGCATGGAACACAGCTGGTAGGGACAGACATATATATTAATTTTTTATGTTTACCTATTTTCAGATATATTTTGTGAAACTGATCAGGAAGACCTCACTGCTAATGTGAAATTTACCCAAAACAAAACAAAGTAGAACACATTAAAAAACTCTCATAACCCCAAATCCCAACCAAGTAAACTAAAAAAAAATTTTTTTTTCATCATCCCCAATTGAGGAGAGTGGAAACATCACCAGTGAGCATGTTTCTTTATTCCCCTCAACTCTTTGTAAATTATAGAATTAAATTGTATTTTCCAATGTGTGCTTTATTTTTCTATAAAAGCAAAAGTTATAAAAATGAAGGAAGTATGCAAAGAAAAGGGAAACATGAAAAAGTGAGTTATATAAGAAAATTCTAGTCAAGGAAGTAAAACATAATTAGAAAAAGTAAAGGAAGCAAGAATACTTTTTTTTTTTTTTTTTTTTTTTTTTTTTTTTTTTTTTTTTTACTTTTTGAGACAGGGTCTCCCTGTAGCTGGCCTGGGATTCACTATGTCACTATGTAAACTAGGCTGGCCTTGAACTCAGAGATCCGCCTGCCTCTGCCTCCTAAGTGCTGGGGATTAAAGGTGTACACCACCATGCCCAGCTAAGAATACTTTATTATGAAAGACATAAGCCTTTTCTCAAATCCACATTCACAAACAAGCACATTTTATCAGTTACTTTTGACTTCACTATAAGCTTTTCTAATTTAATGAAATATCAAAAAAATTCAGAAACAGTTCAATTTATAGATTAAAATTTTATTTTATATGTATGAATGTCTTGCCTGCATGTATGTAAGTGTACCACATGTGTGCAGTGGTCACAGAGGCCAGAAAAGGGCATCGGATCTCCTGGAATGGGAGTTACAGACAGTTGTGAATTGCCATGTGGTGCTGGGAACTGAACCTGGGTCCTCTGCAAAAGCAAACAGTACTCTAACTGATGAGCCATCTCTCCAGTCAGCTAGTCTATAACATGTAAATTTTCAACTCATATATTTAGAAATATTTTTTTCTTTTGTCTTTTTGAGACAGTGTCTTCCTGTAGCCCCAGCTGGCCTGGAGCTCTCTACGTAGACCAGGCTAGCCTCAAACTCATGAAGATCCACCTGACTCTGCCTCCCAAGTGCTGGGATCAAAGCATGCACCACCACACCCAGGTAGAAATACTTTGATTCAGCCATATTATAATTTGTGGAATACTGATTATTCATTTAATTTTTTTTTCTGGGTGGGTGCAACAGCAAAATGGGTAAAGCTGCTTGCTGCCAAGTCTGATGATCTGAGGTCAATCCTTGGGACCCCTTGTAGGGACCAATCCCTACAAGTTGTTCTCTGACTTTCACACATGTGCCAGGGCTTGTGGCCCCCCAACCCCCAAATAATTAAGCAAGTAAGTAAATAAATAAAAATTTGATTTTTCTGAGCCAGGTTCTCACTATGTAACTCAAACTGGCCTTGAACTCTTACTCTTCCTTCCTCCACCTCCTAAGTCCTGGAATTATGATTGTATACTACCATACCTGACCATAGAGTATTATGAGCAGGTATAATACATGTACATAAGACCAGCAAAATTTGCAATACATTCCAAATTTTTTGCTGTTATTTTTCTAACAAGAAAGTACACTATGTAGATTAAAACATCACTGAAATAAGTCTGTATCTGTTGTAACTGTTTACTCCACTCCCTACCTGTAAGATTATAGTTGCTATAGCTCCAGTGAGGTACAATGAAAGACAGTCACAAGCTGTTGCTGTCCACTTGTCACTCCCACCAGCTGGTCTAAAGCAAAAGTAATGACAATCTGTATTACAATGAGTTTAACATGATATCAAAATAGTTATGAAACATTATAAACAGTACAGTTTATACATACAGAAACATTATAAACAGTACAGTTTATACATACAGAAACATTATAAACAGTACAGTCTGAACCCTCAATATAGTAAGAAATAAAGTTGAACATAGAGTTATGTTATTTTTATAATTTTCTTTCCCATTTTGTAGCCTTTCCTCCCCCTTTAAACTTGGGCCTATATACATGTTTATTTTTGTGTATCTATTCTACAGCCACATGAAGACTTCTAAAAAGAAGTTAAATTTTAAGTATTTTGTCAATTGTGTTTCATATCTACCAACCAGACTATCAACCCTAAGAGAGCACAAATGATGTGGTTAGTAGTTTCTCATTATTCACCCTGATGCCTAGCACAGTGCCTGGCAAACTTGAAGTCGATAATGGAAAAAGAAAAACAACCTCAAAACATGACAATGATGATTTCACAGCCTACTTCTGGAAGTTCTCTGAAATTCAAATGTAATTCGAATCACTACCATAAACATGAACTTTCAAGACTTTATAAAACCTTATTTTGGGGCTGGAGAGATGGGTCAACAGTTGAGAGCACTGGCTGCTCTTGCAGAGTACCTGGGTTCAATTCCCAGCACCCACATGATAGCTAACAACTGTCTGTAACTCCAGTTCCAGGGAATCTAAAACTTTCTTCTGACCTTTTCAGGCATTGAATAACACAAGTGCACTTACGTACGTGCAGGCAATACATTCATACACACATAAAATAATAAATAAAATAGTTAAAAACTTTGATCTTTTTAGTTATTGCATTGTTGATTTAACTAATTAAATTAATTCAACAAAGTTACTCAAAACTTTTGATGTAGTCATGAATTCTGAATGAATAAAAATCAGCACATATATGTCTAATTTTGGGGCAAAGACTGAAGAGCAGACAATAATACACACAAAAAAAGTTCAATAACAACTTGGTTCAGTAACAACTTGGCATAGTTCAGAAGGCAATATGGCTCAGCAGGTAAAGGGAGCTTGCTGTGCAAGCCTGGTGACCTGAGTTTGATCCCTGGAGACTACGTAAAGGTAGAAGGAGAGATTTAACTTCAGAGTTGTCCTCTGACATCCACTCTCTTCCTCATACATGTCCCTTTCATAAACAAACAAATGAACAAACAAACAAACTTGGCATGCCAAAGTAGGGATCCGATTTCTAATCATCAAATCTACCCCCAAAGAATAAAGAACTAGTACCACTTAAAATATCACAGGTAAAATAACACATTATCGGAAAACTCTGATTACAGTTTCTTTTTTCCTTTTTGGTGGTACTAGGATCCAACTATGGATGGCAAGCAAGCATTCTACCAATGACCTATATCTTCAACTCTTACTTTTTGGAGCCAGGGTCTCATTATGTAGCCCAGCCTAGCCTTGAACTCACTGCATAGTCCAGGTTGCTCCTGAACTTGCACTTCTCCTGTCTATTGAAATTCATACTTATGAGCGCTACAGTATTACAGATGTATATCAGCATGCCCAGCTAGGCATGGTTTCTAGACCCAGGCAAACCGTTCACTGAATATATAACTAATCTGGTCAAACTTTTCATATTAAATGGTTAACATGGGTAAACAGTTAACCGGGCACATTGTTTGACTTGAACAGGAATTAATACATGATATACTGCCCTCTTTCTTTTTTCTTTTTGAGTTGTCAAAAAGAAAATTTATTTGATTTATACTCTGGGGTAAATATCTACTCATATCTGAGCATAATACATTTTGATTACAAAAGCTCCTGCTTTAAAATTACCAGTTCTTTGCCACAACTCCGGGACCAAGTGCTAACTGCTGCTCCTACCTGTACTGATCCATCCATTCATTCATTAATTCTTTATTTTTATATTTTTTATTGAGCTTTTTAAATTTCATACTAATAGTTCTTTATCAAATTTCAATCCCCTCCCTCATCTATGCCTCCCCCATCCCCCCCACCGAACCTCATGTATTCTGCCATACATGTTAATTCCTATTCATTCAGGCATTCGTACCCAAATGTCCTTCAGTGTAAATGCATTCACTGGAGTCTAGTCAGCCCATCTAGTGAGCATATGTAAGTCATACTCTCCCTCACCCAGCAGCAATCAGTCTCGAATATTTCTCAGTCTAGTGCTGGCCCACCACCTATTTCTCTCCTCCTCTCTGGGTCCTTGTTTAATTGACTTGACACGGGTCCTGTGCAGGCCAAATTTTAAAGAATAAGAGACTGTAGAGTGTAGACTGCAGACTGTAGGTTCCTACATGGAACCTCATTCACCCATGGCTCAAGGAGGAAAGATTTTAAGAGCCAGGGTTCATGAACACAGGGAAGCAGAGGCTTCCAGGCCATTGGAAGCTTTTTCTTTTTTTTAAACAGGGGCTCACTATGTAGCCTACACTATTTACTAAGAAGACTAACAAAGCCAGATGTGGTAGTACATGCCTATAATATACCACTAGAGGGGCAGAGGTGGAACTGTTATTTTGTAGCCAGTCCAGGCTACAAAGTGAGACCCTGTCTACCCTACCAAAATAGACAGACAGGCAGACAGACATGAGTTGATTCCAAGATCTTTCTTGGAAACCAAAATCCACAGATGTTCTAATCCCTTATAGAAAGTAGTATAATGTTTACATGAACCTTGCACATTCTCACTTATATTTTAGATTATCACTATATGATTTACAATACAAAGCAAATGCTATGTAAATCATTGTTAAGTGGTATTGTTTAGGGAACTAGTACAAGGAAAAATCTCTATATGCTTAGTAAAGACTCTACAGAAAAGAATTTTGTGGAATAGCAGATTATAAGGGAGTAAGCATTCCAATTCAGATCTTGTTTATAAAGCCTAGCTTAAGAGTAAGATATTTTACCTTGAATGAAAAGTACCTAACCACTTGAAAATTCATTTCCTGATGCCTAAATAATACTTCACCTATAGCTCAAAGTATGAGAATTAAGGCAGTTAATATAGTGTCCAAAAGTGCAATGATAGCTATTTCAGGTCTAGAGATTTTCCTGTGCCTCACACTCTCTAGTACTGGGATTCTAGGCATGTGCCACCATTCTGACAATTAGATGCTTAAAATAATATTTTATCACATCTATAAGATACAATTAAAGTATGTACAGAAACTCAATTTATACAATATTAGGTATTGTATAAATTGTATAGGACTTCTGTAATGTTTAATTACAGTATTCTGATTGAACTATTTAAGATACAAGTAAAAAATAGTATAGGGTTTAGATAGTACATGGGTCTGAAATTTCTATTCCAGAGTATTGACAGAATTTAGACATATAGTATTACAACCACTATCAGTGATCACAGACAGTGGGAGAAAGTGCCTGATAGATTAGAAAACTGCTCCGTACAAACAGGTGGACAATGAAAACTAAAACTGGTAAGTGCTTCAAGAACTTTGAGCGGATGGCCCATGAGCAGTTAAAGCAGAAAAGAGTCACCAAGAAGATATTCTGTCCTGCTTCAATAAAAACAACAGGCTACAAAATAGATAAATCAGACTAATTTAGATTTATAACTTTGGGCAAGGTAACCTATTTAATTGGAGTTGTTTTAGTTATAATATTGGATAATGATGGTTCTCATATCAGTACAACTGTGAAAACTAAATGAACTTGTACATGTAGAATACATTGTATGTTATCTACCCTAGAAGACAATAAATGTTAGGTAGATTGCACAGTAGAGTATACCAGGAATTCTCTTGTGATATCCCTTTAAGAGGAAAATAGAATGGAAAAATCAGTATAGTTTTTCAATTAAAAAAAAAAAAACAGATTCAAGACTGGAGAGTAAGGTGCCTGCCTCTAAGTCTGACAACCTCAGTTCGATCCCTGGGACATGGTGGAATGAGAGAACAGACTCTTGCAAGTTGTCTGTGGCCTGGGCACCCCTCACCCAAATGAGTAAACAAAAAATACAATAAAAAACCAACCACAAGGTCACTGAAGATTTTAAAATGTTAAAGCATCTCAAAAATGTATAGCTTTTTATGAATATATTTTTAAATATTCCTATTTATACCCATGTCTGAAGCATATAAATATGATGTGTGTGCAAATTAACATGTAAATGGCTTTATAATAGGAAGCAAATTCAAGATAATCTAGAATTATAAACTTCCCTGAACAATTTGGACAGCTGTAGTCAGCACATCAATGCAGCAGGCAATGGTCTGCCAGCAGACTTGATTAGTGACAGAGCTGCTTCCTATTGGTAAAATGACATCTACTACTCTACTGCCAACAGGAACTAAGATTTATTTAGCAAAAGTTAATGACTCTTTCGAACCTCTCTCTGAAAGGAAGGTCATTATTTTTTGGCAACATTGTTACTTCAGTGACTTTATAATCTTATTTCTGTCAGTGAAGGTCCAAAATTCAAAATTTAAGTAATATCTATTGGTTTAAAAAATATGAGCATTTAAAAATTTAAACATGTTCTATAGGCTAAATATAAGGCATGTTGGTTGAATTTGGCCCATCTACTGCAGCCTATAACCTCTGACACAGAGGTATGCTTTCAAACATATTTTTACATTATAGGACAATGTAGACATTGATTTAAAAAACTATTATTTCAAATTCAAAATCAACTGGATATACCATAAATAACTGTAAATTCTGTATTTAGGTAAAAAATATCCCAATTATTAAGATGGAAAGTTCAAGTGAAAAGTAACAAGTGTCATTCAGTGGAAGCCCTTTTAAGCAGAAAAGGCCTACTAAAGGGTTTGGGGCTGTTTGGCTCTGTCTTGGCTGCACATGCCCATTTGTTTCATGCCTTCTTTTGGATGTGTGGGATGTGATAGTTCATTCACATTGCCATGATTGGGGTCTTTTAAAAATATTTATTATTTTTATTTTTATGTGTATGAGTGTATTGCCTGCATGTATGTAAGTGCACCCATGTCATGCAATGCCCACGGAGGTCAGAAGAGGGTGTTGGATTCCCCTGGAACTGGAGTTACAGATGGTAGTTAGCTGCCACATGGGTGCTGGGAATCCAGCCTGGGTCCCCTGAAAGAGCAGCCAGTGCTCTTAACTGTTGCACTCTCTCTCCAGTCCCTGACTTGGGGTCTTTTATACAGAAACATCCTCTGGTAAAAATGGAAGCTTATTGCAGTTACAGCTTAAACCACTAGGCTTTTGTTGAACAGTCTAGCTCAACTGCATAAGGAATTCCATCCAGATCAAATTAGCCCCAGGACACATAAATGCACATGTTGCTTTAAACAAAGTATACATAAACAGAATCATGTTTATAAATTTAGTGAAATTTTCTCAGAATATGCCTGCAATATTTTTCCAAGTTAGATAAGAAAATATTCTTTTTTTGGTCTTTTTGAGACAGGTCTCCCTGTAGCCCCGGCTGTCCTGGAACTCACTATGTAGACTAGGCTGGCCTTGAACTCACAGAGATCCGCCTGCCTCTGCCTCTTGAGTGCTGGGATTAAAGGTATGTGCCACCACGCCTGGCAAGAAAATATTCTTAAAAGGCAAACAGGAGAAGCTACAAATCATAAAATTTTAGTAATATGTGACAATGCTACAGATAACCTGGAACATAAAAAGTTTTGGTGGAACAAGGGTGGTATTGTCCTTTCAGTATCTCCTATGTAAATGAGGCTGGCCTTGATCTCTTTAGAGATCTGCCTGCCTCTGTCTCCTGAGTACTGGGACTACAGACATGTGCCACTACACCTGTCTTCCCTCTTCTTAAAACCCCGAGATAACTAGATTTTACAAAAATTTTGGAATATGTTAATTAAATTAAAGCTGACAGGAGATCATATTAAAATATTTAAAATGACAACATACAATAAGAAAATTAATTTACTTAGCTAAAAACTACCTTATATCAACAAGTGAGCATTCCAAAGATAATCTTCCCACTGCCTTTAGATTTTCTTGAAGTTCTCTTAAATAGTGAACACTCACTACTAGTTCAACACCCACATCATATAGAAAGACCTATAAAAACAGTAAATTTAAGTAAATGGAAATGTTAAGCAATCATACACACAAAGTTGAAAATATATTTCATTTTCAAGACTACATTTGTGACTCTGAAATTACCTCCACCAATGTGTCTGTAATCATTCTGATAATCTGGCCTCTTCGCCACTGATTTTCATCTGGGACCTTAACAGCACAGTGCATATTACTTTCCCACTTAATAGATTTCCATTCTGAATTTTCATAAGCAGCTGCCATATTTTCTTCCAAACTATAAGGATAAAAACTTTAATTTTCCAAATATTTTCTTATACAATTCTTTGACCACATATTTCTACCAACCTCCATGGTCATTCCACTCCAGTCAAACTGGGCAGTGTTCTCTGAATGTACAAAGTATGTTTCTACCTTTAACTAACTTACTTCCCTCTGCTAGAGATGAACTCTCCTCAGATACATACTAGGCTTATACTCTTCTACCTCCTTCAGTATCTATTTCAAAAGCCACTGCCAGGGCTGGAAGAGACGGCTCAGTGATGAAGAGCTAAGAGTGGGTACTGCTCCTGTAATCTTTTCAAGGACCCAAACTGGGTTCCCAGCACCCATGTAGAATGGCTCACAACCACCTATAATTCCAGCACCAGGGGATCCCATGCTCTCTTCGGGGCTAGGTGAGCATGAGCATTCACACACACACACACACACACACACACACACAAACAATATCTTTTAAAAAAGCCATTGTCGCACTCGGGAGGCAGAAGCAAGTGGATCTCTGTGAGTTCAAGGCCAGCCTGGTCTACATAATGAGTTTCAGGACAGTTGGGACTACAGGGAGACCCTAGATCAAAAAAAAAAAAAGCCATTGTCTTAATAAGACCTTCCTTGACCTTAAAACTGCTTTCCTTCTCAAATACTTTTTTCTATTACCCTTACCATCATTCCCCACATTAAATATTGTTTGCTCATCATCTCCATTTTACTATAATTTTAAGTCTATGACAGTGAAGACCCAATACTAACTATAGGATGCCATGGAAGAAGGTACTCAATAATTACTTATAACATAGCTACTTATGAAATATATTTTAATATTATGAAAATAGCCAAAAAAGATATTGTACTTTAAAGTTTAGAGAGTGAAGTTAGTTGAAATAATCTTGCTATTTTCAAAATTCTACACTATGACTTCTGGATATTTGAAACAAAGTATAAGATGAATAAAATCATGGGCAGGGGATGGAGAGATGGCTCAGCAGTTAAGAGCCCTGGTTGCTCTTACAGAAGACCCAGGTTCGAATCTCAGACCCACATGGTGGCTAACAATTGTCCATAATTCCAGTTCCAGGGGATCTGAAACCCTCCTTTGTCCTTCGTGGTTAATGCATGACACTGGTTCATTTACATCCATGCAGGCATAGTACTCACACACATAAAAATAAATAAAAAATAAAATCATAGGCAACATGTTTTCATTATATGTTATACCTATTAAGTAAGCTTTCTGTTAGTAACCATTGAACATGTATCTTCTCAGGTGATATTACATTACATATATTTACAGGCAGTTCCTTGTTATATAATGACTGGAAATTCTCATTTGGTAGAGACTGTATAGACATAGGACTTAAATTGTTTATTTCGTTTGAAATAATTTCTTCAGGAGAAGGATCCCAAACTTCGAGATGCTTTTTAGAATTATCTTTGAGGGTATATCTGAAAGGTAACAAGTTGGCAAAAAAAAATTAGCAAACTGTTTGTATTTGCTTATATTTTAGAGATTAATAAGTTTCAGCTGTGCTTTTATGCTTTCCAACTTTGATATTAATAGCAACTAATAAAATTAGTTTTTTCTTTAAAAAAAGCACTGAACACCAAACAAGGACAAAAAAGAAAAGCCAAAATGAAATTTTCTACTTTAAATCATTTAAATATTTTTGATTGATTGATTTTACTTACATGTGTGTTTTGCCTAAAAGTATGTAAGTGCACCACAAACATGTAATGCCTGCGGAGGCCAGAAGATTCACTGGAACTGGAATTACAGACAGTTGTGGGCTGCCATGTGGATGCCGGAAACTGAACTCTGATCGTCTGGTAGAGCAGTCAGGGCTCTTAACTGTTGAGCAATCTCTCCAGCTGCTAAACTTTCTACTTTAAAAAGTTTGACATTCTATACTCATGGTTTTGGCAACTTGAATAGTTACCTGGCTAAAAAGTATCAATCAGTTTTCTGTGAAGAATACAATTACTACAAAATATATTAAGCAAAATAAGAAACTATTACGTTTAATAGATTACTAAATGTAGACAACTATACTGTTTTAAGAAAAAACATTTAATATCTTTCACAATAACCTGAGAACTAGCTCACAAAAGTCACTCATGATTTTTGTTGCTAAATCTAATGGACAGTTTTCAGCTGAACTCTTAATACTAGCTACTCTTCTTAAAATACTATCTTTCTGGGGTTGGACATTTAGCTCAGTGGTAGAGCGCTTGCCTAGCAAGTGCAAGGCCCTGGGTTCAGTCCTCAGCTCCAAAAAAAAAATACTATCTTTCTTTGTTCCTACTTTTACTTCAATCTCAGGCTCATGATCTACCAGTGTTTGGAACTCTTTTTCCCTGTACAAGTAATATTCCACAGGGCTTCATCTTCACTGAAAGAATGTAAAAAGCATTTCATCCTTTGTCATCTATCATTTATGTATTACTAACCCCATTTAAATAACATCATTAGCTCTCTTCTGACTTCCAAATTTATGTCTATTTCCTTTATGCAGTTAAAATTATCAGGTATGTACTGTGAGCCAGCACAGTGTTAGATATGCAGTGAAGAAAATATCCAGGGTCCTTGTCCTCACAGAGTTTACAGTGCAGTAGCTTCTCCTTACTCACAGCATGTATTTTTAAGACCTCTAGTGGATGCTTGAGTCTGCATAAAACCCTGTATGTATTGTTTTTCTACACTATATACCTATGATTAAGTTTACTGTAGAAATTACAGTAAGAGAGTAATGAGAGTAACAAAACAGAACAAGTATAATAATAGACTGTAATAGAAATTATTTAAATTGTACAAATTGTTTATTTCTTGAAATTTTCACTAAATAGTTTTGGACTGCAGTTGACAACACTTAACTGAAACTGTGGAATGGACACTCATAGATAAGAGTGAGGCTTCTAAGCTGGAGAGATGAATTAGCAGTTAAGAGCTCTGACTGTTCTTCCAGAGGACCTGGGTTTGGTTCCCAGCATCCACATGGCGACTAACAACCCTCTGTAACTCCAGTTTCAGTGGATACAGTGCTCTCTTTTGGCCTTCATGAGTTTACATGAGTGTACTTATACGCATGCAGGCAAAACACTCATACACATAAATAAATAAAAATATTAAAAAGAATGAACTTTCTATACAGTGTAGACAGGAAATTTACATAAACAAGATGTTATAAACTAAAAGAACACAAATGTCAAGAAAAATCTAACCTAGTCTAGGGGTCAGGGATGGTCTCTAAGTGGCAGATCAGCTGACATTTAAGAGAAAGGAGTAGGCAGCTAAGCAATCTAGCGAATCAAGGAAAACATGCAGCTCTGACATAGTGAGCCATTAGGAAGAAGCATGGGTCTTGAGGTAGTAAGGGCCCAGACAACATGGGCAACATTGTTTTATAAAAGATGGTACACAGTGCACTCAGTAGGTAGGCCTAGTAGAGACTCAAGTAGACAAGCAGATCGTGAAAGTTCTTCTCAGTTGTCAGATGGGCTGGGGCAACAGACAGCATGAGAACATTTAGGAGAGAAAGAATTATCTGGGGTTGCCAGAGCACCAGGAGTGGCTTTATTTGAGTAAAAGTAAGCTTCAAGACCCCACTTGTGCATGGGTTCCTTGGAGGGACCCAAGCAATGTTTTTCTGAAAAATTTCTCATAATTAAGACAATTTTAAAATTAATTTGTATATTTTTAAAAATTGTGCTAAATACCCATGAAATGTACTATTTTAACTTTTTTCAGTATACATCTCAGGGCACTAAATATGGTAATATTATTGCAAAATCATCGCCATTATCCATCCCTAGAGTTTCCATCTTGCAAAGCTAAAACTATATTTATTAGGCATTAACTTCTTATTTTCTTCCTATCCTCATAGCTATAGCAATCACTATTTTTTCTGTCTCTGATTTTGATTGTTTGAACAATCTCATATAATTGGAATCATGTAATATTTTTTGCGGTGGCTTAATATAAAAAGGTTCATCCATTTGGTACTATATTAGTTACTCATTTTATTGCTGTGACAAAATACCTGACAAAAGCAACTTAAGGCTTATTTTGGTTCACAGTTCTAGCAGATATAGTCCATCAAGGCAGGGAAGGTATGGTGGCAGAAGGTGCCTGGTTAGGAAGCAAACAGTGATAATGCTTGTGCTCAGCTTACTTTCTCCTTTTCATTCAGTCCAGGACTGGAGCCCATGGAATTGGCTGCTCATATTTAGGATGGGTCTTCCCACTTCAATTACATAATCCCTCAGAGACAAGCCCAGATACTGTTTCCATGGAGATCCTAAATCTTGACAATCAAGATTAACCAACATGGATGCTATATCAGAATTTTATTGTGTATGTATGTGTATGTGGGTACGTTTGCTCTGTGTATATGTGTAGATGTTGGGTGTCGTCCTCTATCATTCTCTATCTTATTCTGTGAGACAAAGTCTCTCACTGAATCCAAATCATGCTGTTTCAGCTAGACCAGTGAGCCCCAGGGATCTGCTTATCTCCTCCATCAAGCACTGGGTTTAAAGATGCCTGCATGCACATGGCTTTTATATGCATGCTGCAGATCTGAACTCAGGTCCTCATGCTTGCACAGCAAACACTTTATCCACTAAGCCATCTCCCCAGGCCCAGAATTTCTTTTTTAAAGCCGAATAATGTTCAATTATCTGTGCAAACCACATGGTGCTTATTTATCCATCCACTGATGGAAAGTTGAGTTGCTGCCATGTTTTACTTCTTGAGAATAGTGCTGTTATGACAATAAATGTAATATGACAGGACTGTGATTTCAATTCTTTTTGAGAATACACTCAGTAGAATTGCTAGACTATTATCTACTAGAACTACTGAAAAAAAGCCCAAGCCCAAAATTCTGGTTCACAGCAGAATTTTACCAGACTTTCAAAGCAGATTTACAATCAATACTACTTAGATTAAAAAAGGAACAAAGGGAAAATTCCCAATTTCCTTTTAATAAAGTCAGCATTATTGTAATACCATAACCAGGTAAAGACACATCAAAAAAAAATCCCATAGGCCCGTATGCCTAATGAACACAGATGCAAAATTTTTCAACAAAATACTCACAAACTGCATACAGACACACATCAAAAAGATCATCCACCAGGTTCAAGTTGGCTTTATTCCAGAGATGCAGGGATGCTTTAATATACATAAGTCAATAAATGTAATAATTCATATAAATGGACTTAAAGGCAAAAATCACATGATCATCTCAATAGATGCAGAAAAGGCCTTTGACAAAATCCAACATGCATTTATGATAAAAGTCCTAGAGGAAATTAGACCAGAGGGAACATGCCTCAACATAAGTAAAGCTATATACAAAAAACCCACAGCCAGTATCATTCTAAACGGAGAAAAACTGGAAGCATTCTCATTAAAATCAGGAACCAGACAAGGATGTCCACTATCCTGTCTGCTTTTCAATATAGGGCTTGAAACTCTTGCTAGAGCAGTAAGACAAGAAAGAAATTAAAGGGGTACTAATTGGAAAAGAAGAGGTCAAATTATCACTATTTGCAGATATTACATGATACATATGAGATCCAAACTTTTCTAGAAACATTAAAACTTCTAGAAATGATCAACATTTTTAGCAAGGTAGCAGGATACAAAATCAATTTATAAAAATTCAATATCCTTTCTATATACTAATAACAAGCAATCAGAGCTAGTTCATGGAAATATAGCCATTCACAACAGACTTTAAAAAATTCTAGGAATAAACCTAACCAAATCCATTAAAAGACCTCTACAATGAAAATTTTAAATCTTTGAAAAAAGAGATTTAGGAAGACAGAAGATGTTTTCATGGATTGGTAGAATTAATATAGTGAAAATGACCATTCTATCAAAAGCAATTTATAGATTCAATGAAATTCCAATCAAAATCTCTGTGACATTCTTCACAGAAAGTCATCCTAAAAAATTCATATGGAATCATAAATAACCCTGGATCTCCAAAGCAATCTGGAGTACAATGCTGATCTCAAATTATATTACAGAGCTATAATCATAAAAATAGCATGGTATTGGCACAAAAACAGACATGTAGATCAATGGAACAAAATAGAAGATCCAAATATTAGTGCATGCAATTTCAGTCATCTAATATTTGACAAAGGTGCCAAGACATACACTGGAGGAAAGACAGCATCTTTAACAAATTGTACTAGGAAAACTGGATCTTCATGTGTAAAAGAATGAAATTAGGCCTTTTTCTATCACCCTGCACAAAAGTCAACTTCAAATGGATCAAAGAGGTCAATGTAAAATCTGAAATGCTGAAACTGTTAGAAGAAAACATAGGCAATACCTTAAAAAATGTAGGTGCAGGAGAGGATTTTCTAAGTTGGACATCAATTGCTCAGGAATTAAAGTCAACAATTGACAAGTGGGACCTCATTAAACT